CCGGGTTCTCCAGGGAAACAGAGTTAAAGGGATGCTTGCAAGTCTAGAGAGATTGACTGTACAGGTTTGGCTCACATTCTTAGAGAGGCTGGCGGGCCTGGAGTCTGCAGGGAGGGGAACCAGGCTGAGACGAGGGAAGATCTGCTGTTGAAGTTCAGGCCAAATGTCATCAGCCTGGACACACAGGGAAGAGCCAGTGCTGGAGGTCTCGTCCCCTGACCGTCTGCTGCAGAAATCTTTCCTCCTCAGGGGAGGTCAGACTTGGCAGCTTCCAACCTTCACCTGATGAGATGCGGCTCACCCACGTTGTGGAGGGCAGCCTGCTCTACTCAGAGTTTATCCTTTTCAGTTTATCTCATCCCACATGTCCTCACGGAAACATCGAGAATGATACTTGACCGCAATTCTCGGCACTGTGGCCCAGCCGGGTGACGTATAAAATGAACCAGCAGATCGCACAAACACGAATCCAAAGAAACGTAGAAAGGCTAAATAATATCAGAGAAAGAAGACTTCAGAGCCCGGGAAGTTACCAGGGGCAAAGGAGAATAGTGGACAAGGACGGAAGGTCAGTTCAGGAAGACGTGACGAGAACCCCCGACGTGTGCCCACCTGAAGAGGGCACGCGGTGCCATGGCACCAGATACACGTGGCAAAATGGCAGAACTGAAAGGAGGAACAGGTGCGTCCACCATCGCAGCCAGAGGGCCCAGCACTCCCGTCCCGGCAGCGCGGCGAGAGGCGGACAGTCAGCAAGGACACGCGACGCTGAACACGACCACGAACCAGCCTGACCCGGCTGATGTCCGAGGAACACTCGGCCCCACCAGCGGCCTGCAGAGCCCTCTCAGCTCCCCAGACAGTGTCCCATCCTGGGCCAGAACACAAACGTCAGCGATTTTTCGCGTCCTGAAATAATGTGTTTTCTCGGACTGGGACAGACCTCGGGTAGAATTTAATAACGGAGAGATGACGGGAAATTTCCAAACACTTACGGAGGAAACGTAAGTCTCCATAGCCAAATGTCAAAGAGGGCGCCTGAGGGCAATGTCTCAACATTTGACGGGAGCGGAAATGCACATACAAGGCATCAAAACGTGGGAAAAGACGCGAACAAGGTGCTTCTAAGGAAATGAACATGATTCAAAGCATAGTTTACCAAAGGAGAAATGCTCCAAATTCATAATGTAAGCATTTCTCTTACAAATCTATACAAATAAGAGCGAAACAAATGCAGAGCAAGTGGCAGAGAGGAAATAAGAAGAACGAAGGGAGAGAAAATGAAACTGAGTCATGTAATAAAACATATTGACAGAAAAGCCGACAGCGAACATCACTGTTGAAGGCGGAAAACTGGATGCTTTCCCTTAATGTTGGGAACGAGCCAACGGTGCCTGTGCTCACCGCTCCTCTGCGCATCTAGGGAAAGTCTCATCAGATGCACTAAGGCAAGAGAAAGACATAAAGTGAGCTATAGATTGGAAAGGGGAAAAGAAAATCTGTCTTGATCACAGACATTACTTATGTTTGTCTACGTAGAAAATCCCAGGAATCTACAGAAAGTTCCCCAGACTAGTAGCGAGTTTGCCAAGAGGGCAGGATAGAGGCCAACGGGGAGGGGACTGACGGGCCATCGTACCAGCAGGATCGAACAGACATGTAACAGTTTGTGCTCCAGGCCGGGGGCGGTCACGGAGGCCCTGAGCAGGTGTGCGGGGGCAGGCGGGGCATGTGGTCGCGCACAAGGGGATTGAGAGGGGGTGGTCCCCGGTGCCAGGGAGCCCCATCAGGATTGGGGTGGTACCCTGGTCCTGTGTACCTCATGCCCCTCCCTGTCTGGTCTACACTGAAAATAAGAATCATTTCAGACTTCAGGTCGGGGCTCCTCTCTCCCTGACTGTGTGCAGTGAGGTTAATCATACCAGCCACCTGCTATAGTTCATGCAGCCCAGCGTCCAGGAGATGCTTTCACCTGCTCCCTGCCCACCAGCAGGGGTGAGGTTTCAGGACCCCGGGGCGGTGGCGGGGGGAGGTGGGTGGGAAGAGGCTTGTTTCACAACATTTACTGCAAGGTTCAGACACAGCCCGGCTCTGCCCCCTCTCCGGATGCGGATACCGTTCTCAGATACTTAGAATCGTCCTTTCAGTTGCAATCTGGATGTTTCTGGAAGCCTTAGTTCTGAGGCACACGCAGCTGCTTGGCTGGAGGCTGGTGTGTGCATGCTCCCTTGCAGAGGCTGAGGTTTTAGGGGCGATTAGCTCGTCTGCTTTGCTCTGATCTCGGGGGATCCACCTGCTTCCGGTGGAGCCTCAGGCTGAGCTGGGGAGACGGACAGGCAGGGACACTTGAGACCCACTTCTGTCCTGCTTGGATTACTAATTCTGGCAAATAGCAGGCCACTCTGTATGCATGGGGGAGAAGAGGTAGAGATGGAAGGAGAGAGTTTGTGCGTCCAAGAGGTGACCTGAGGCTCAGGTAGGCGACCAGCCTCTCCTCCGAACGGAACACGCACATTCATGGCCTGAAAACACTTTCCCTCCTGTGGGGGCCGAGCTCCTCCTCTGTCTTGCCCAGCCCCTGGATTACAAGAAGGGAAGCTGGGCTGTGAGGGCAGGGAGAGAGGGCGGGGAGGACACAGCGCAGGGGTGAAGAGGGGGAGCCGAACCCACAGCCCCAACAGGCGGGAAGGAGAGCCGAAAAGCACGTGTGCCAACCCAGGGACCAGTCCTGTGTCCTCTTGAGTAAGTGGCAGAAACCGCTAAGGCTTCAGCGTCTCCGGCTTTCCTCTTACAAGTGCGACAACAAAATAAACTTGTTGCACCCGAGGCGCTTGGCACAGGCCTGGGGCTTCAGAGGCACCGGATCTGGGCCCCTGAGCAGGAAGGAAGGAGTCCAGGGTGTGGCCCATTTCCTGAGAAGGGGCACCTGCTGTGGGTGGAGGTGGCAGCGGACGCGTGGGGGTCACCCCTGGGGGCTCTAGGGGTCCCGTGAGGTGGGGCCCAGGTGCGGGATCAGCCGTTCAGTAGGCGGAGCCCCAGCCAGGGTGCAGGCTGCAGGGAGGGAGCCAGCAGGGTCAGGGGGACGGACCAGAGGAGGGGTGCCTCAGACGGGGCCTCACGTGTAGGGAAAGGTCCTTCTTAGACACGAGGAGCTCAGTGTCCCCCGTGGGGACAGGAGAGAGAGGGAGGCAGAGGTCAGTAAGCGGTCAGGGAAAAGTTAACTGGCAGAACGAGAACTCACTCATCAACTTCTGCTTTTTCCTGAGAAATAGGAGCCCTGCCAGGTGCCAACATGACCGGTCAGAAGGGAGGAGGTTTCCCAGGACTCGGGAAACCAGACGACGGCTGGGACCCAGGCCCTGGCTGCGGTGCGGCTCGGGCTCGCCCAGCTGTGCGGCCTTGACACTCAGCCTTTCTGGCCTCCTGCTCCTCGTCTGCAAAGTGGGCACCAGGACACCCAGCTTACACAGCGTCTGCGAGGGCCCAGTGAGTGACGAACGAAGAGGGTGATGAGATCAGTGCGCGTCACGGGGCCGGGACTCAGCGAGCCCTGGCTAGTGCGACTTTGTATTCTCTTTACACAGCTCTCAAGCACAGACTGAGCAGGCTGGTGGTGAACCGGTCGAGGCTGGAAGTTGAGACTTCACGTCCA